TCCACATATGTCTCACATCAGTTGGAAACTTTCTTGGGCACATCTGGCTGTTCCTGCAATATTGTTTGAATTCTTGGAGTCGAGCTCCAGAACTAGATATGAATGATAATGACTCTCTAATATTTGTAAGATTAGTTGAGATATGTTTAATGCATGCCTGAACTACTAAATTAATTATGTGACATGCACACCGTTGATGAAAAATTTCCCCTCCAAATGCTGGTTTCAAACTACGTTTAAATAGATTAATTACAGTTGTATTAGCTGACGCATTATCAAAAGTAATTGTTAAAACTTTATCTTCTATCCCATAAAACCTAAAAATTTCCATTATTGTATTAAAAATAGCTGTTGCGTTATGAGGGTATGGACATAAATGAAAACCAATTATTCTTTTTTGTAAAACCCAATCGTCATCAACGTAGTGCGCTGTGACACATAAATATCCAGTTTTATTGCACCCCTCCCACAGATCAGAAGTGCAAGAGACAGTAGCATTAAAAGTCCTAAAATTATCAATAAGAGATTGTCTCATTGCGTAAAAAACTTTCATGCAATCCGAACAAGTTGTGTTTCTACTTACCCGTTTAAATTGTGGGCAAAAGGCTGTCTGGATGAATTCTTGGAACGATGCATCATCTGCAAAAGAAAGAGGCAATTCGGCACTAGCTAGAAATTTAGCTAGTGCCTCACGAGCACGTTGTGCATCGTATGTAAAATTTTGTAACCCCTGTGATGTGAGGGATAGTGTTTGTTGGCGGGAGTCCACACTCCCACCTTGGTGCAACAGTAGACCTACTTTCCAATGTCTATCCAGATGACTAGTACCCCCACCCTTTTTATTAGAAAAGTACTTTTTACAATATTTACATACCGCACGAATTTTCATCTCACCTGTTTTTAGATTTGGTCAAGGCTCCTCGGTGAAATGCTGTCATGCCGAAAAAGTTCGCGGTCTTTTTCCTCTGCTGCGTTCTCCAGCTTCCTCGTTGTGTACTGAAGCATTATCCACCGGAGTATTTTCTGGTTCAATGGGAGTGGGTTGGGAGGCATCATTTCATTCTCATAAAATGGCTCATCACCAAGCTCAGGAAGAGCAGTGAAATCAGGGAAGTTTGGAATGGCCATTTCTAGAAATTGATTGAACTTTGTAAATGAAATAGCTAGAAAATGAATGAGCTTAAAATCAAAATCAAAGAGACAAGTTCAGAGATAGAATGAGAGTTAGATGAGAAGTTGAGAGTGAATTGTTGTGTGAGATTTATGGTAGAATTACGGGGTATTTATAGGGGATTTTGGGGGTGAATTTCCAGATTTTAGGGTTTTTAGCCGTTGGACCCTTCGCAGGCCAAACGGGAGGCACGTGACGGGCCACCCGTTTGGCCCGTCACGTGCCTCCCTTTTGGGCCCGTGAAAGGCCCCTGGACCAAATGAAATGGGCTGTTTGATGGGCCGTTTCGCGGGCTTGGGCCGGGCCGAATCAGGGGTTGGGTCGGGCCGAACAAGGACTGTGCCGCGGGCCTCCATGTGCTTGGGCCGTGCTTGGGCCACGGGCTGAGAAGCTGAGGCTCAGCCCTACCCCATTACACGTACCGTGCCGGCACGGCCCGTAACAGTAGCGAACCGGGCCGTGCCGAATCTAACATTATTACGGACGGCCCGGCCCATTTGACACCTTTATTTGAGAAGCAACCATTTACTCGCATAGGAGGGTGTTGTATAGAAATCGCATGAACGGAGTATAGTGGGAGGAGTAATCAAACGGTTGTTGGAGATTTGACTCAAAAAGTGCGGATAAGGCTTAATGGAGCACTACTCTGAGGATAAACGCAGGTTGCCTCTGGAGCGAGTATGTGACTCATATGATGTGAATAAAGCATGAACTCTGGCAAGAAAACTGACGAAACCCGAATCAAGAAAGTCTCTAAGATCGATCTAAAATCAGGCTTGAATGGAAAGCTCGACCCGTTGCTTATAAGGAAGCAAGAACCTTGGTATATTGAAGATGCCACAATCAATGATGGAAGAATTGATAGATAAGTCAAGGACGAACGCCACGGAGAATTCTGATAAGTTCAAGAAGTTCTTAAAGAACCAAAGAGAATGCTGAAATTTTGACTTAAAAAAATACTTATCCGTTATTAATGATATGAATCACGCCTATTAATAAGCTGAAATTACATAAATTTGAATTTTGGTCAAACTCAAATTTTTGGTGGTCAAACTATATCCTAAAAGAAAGAAATTTATCCTAAACAAAAGAAATTTATCCTTTTGGATAAACATGCCTTATTTAACTTCTAAACAAACTCTAAATCTAAAAAGAAACTAAGGATAACTATTAAAATAGATAACTATCAAATTATTGATCTTGATCCTTAAGACTTGGTGAACAGTAACGCACGTGTGAACAGTAACACACTCACTTCATGCTAATCTTTATCTGGAAATTGCTTTGATGACTTGGACCAATCTTGGCTCACCATCAATAGTGACCATGCATGCTTCTCTTTTCTGGACCTCTTGGATTAATCCATTAAGTGCATCATTGAACCGTTTAGCCCGAGCTCTTGTGACTAGTCCTACCGGAACTTAAAGCGGATCTTGATTCCATGTGTTAGCCCTAGCCATGCTCCCATCAGGAGGAATGCTCCAAAGATAAGGGAAGGTTGCCTTTGGAATGAACGTATGACTCATATAGTGTGGCCTTCTGATTTTGGCCAAACAGTCATCGTTAGAGCACCTGACACATTCATCCTTCAAGGAGCATGGAAAATACGTTGAGTCTCAGGGGAGTCTTTTAGAGCACGCATGGAGGATCTCCATGGAGGCGTCCGCAGTAACGCCTCTATAGCCAAATCTGGCAAGGAGACAAGGTTTCAGTCCGCTCCAGAGTAGACAGTTCCAGAGTAGCAAAATTTATGGTGCTGGAGGGGAAGGTTTCATAGTCTAACTTCTTAACTTTTGAGCCTCCAAAGGTTAGGAAAAGAATTTTTAGAACTTATAAAAGGCAAACAAAGGATTTTTGGGGTTGACTTCTCCATTACCCATTTATTTCTTAGCCTAATTATTTCAAAGCGCCCCAAACAGGACTTAAAATCGGATCATACTTAAAAACATATGAGCATGTTCGATTATCCATAGCCCACCATACCACGACTCACGTGAGTTTCCTGAGCGTCTCTTGAGTCCACGAAGAGAGCCCAATCGCATCACAGGACAATATTATTGGACCTAGACCCTCGTACGAGCCTTATAAAAAAACGACCTTCAACAATTAACTTATTACTCCTTCCAACATCACGAGTCCATTGAGTTAAAGCTTCTCCCAAACGTACCCAGTGTATTTACTCATAAACATTGCTTATACATTTCTCAAAGGAAGCTTGAACATTTTGAAAAAATTCCTTATTGTCACACATCCAGAAATAAACAGTAAGAATGAGTGGCTGCAACTATGATATTTGCATGTTTTTCCAGATTCATTAGTTCTACACACGCTGGACTTTGTACAATAAGCGTGGAATCTAGCTAAAGAGCTAGCAAATCACAGAATATAGGGTTTTGTACATATTTTAAAATAGCAAGAGTTTATAATTTATGGGTAGAAAAATTCTAAGGTCGCTCTTTTTATCACTTTCTGCATTCGATGTTTGACACGTGGACTCTATTAATATAATACATTATAATTTAAATAGAAAATGAGATAGTAGAGTACATGTGGTAAACAGTGAATGTAAAAAGTAACAAAGAGAGTTACAAAAAAAGTGATTTAAGCGTTTCTTTTTTAGGATATGGCATGCGGTTGTGTGCAGAGAAAAAAAAACCTACTATTAGTTTATTTATAATAAAATTCAATTACATAATTAGGTCTACTATAATGTCCTATCTTGTCATTTTATAAGAGGATATTTTATAATAAGAAATTTTAATTTAAAAGGGAGTGTGGACAATAAAAAAAGTTGTATGAATAAAACCACACAAAGTAAAATTATCTTTTCATCGTGGTTAAAACCCTTAAAACTAGAACACTTTTTTATTTATGGCAACTATTTTCATAAAAGTTTCAAATACTATAGGTGATTAGGACGTGATTATTTTTTATAAATTTCATAAATCTTTTATTAATTTTAGTGTCATAGAATAAAACTATTAAGAATCAAAATTGAAGGTGTAACTTTATAAAATTGAAAGCTTAGAGATAACAACAACAAAAAAAGAGAGAAAAAAGCACAATTGCGCTAAGTGAACAATACTGCGGCAACGTTTCTTGAAAAAAAAAAAAAAAAAAAAAAAGCAAAATGCCATGGCGTAATAGCGCCTGATTAGAGTGCAAACCGAGCGGCAAATCAGCACTTTACCACTCGGTTGGAGATGGTCTAAAAATAAAAATTGAAGGGATACCTTTTCAAATTTAGAGATGCAATACTTACAATTGTATGACTATGAGTGTTGATAACATTTTTGGATTAAAAACTGGTTTTTTATTTTGTAGTTTAGGACTTTGAATCTTTTGAGAGGACTTTTAAGGGTCGTAGGAGGGTTTAAGAATTTGAACCCACATTTAAGTTGAAACTAGTGTTTATTTTTAAAAAGTAACAAAATATATATATATATATATATATATCCACCTTATTTTGCTTATTCAAAATAAAATGATTTCTAAATCCAAATCCCCCTTGGTTCTCAAGGTTTGAATCTAAGTCCAAACCTCACCGTTCAAAATCCAAATGGTTGAAACTCAAGGTTCAACTCCTTTACCAAATAAGGCACCATTTATTTCACCAATTCAAGTTTTGTTACAATAAAAAATTCTCAGAAACCGTCACATCTAATTTTTTTACTACAGTAAAAAGTTTTCACATAAAATCAGATCTCAACTCGAACTGAAAACTCAAATCAGCGAACTAAACGGGCTTAAGCTTTGAAATTGTTTAAAAGTAGGAGAGGAGTTCTGTTACAAAGGGTTTCACAAACCTCAAAAATCAATCAAGAAAACTAACTAAAAAATTCTTTTATTGAGAAATCACTTGTACGATATTGAACTTGAAATTGAATAGAGATTCCAAGTCCTCAATTACTTGTACTTTTGAACAAAGCAAGTTTTGCACTTATTTGAACTGCTATGTGCCATTGCTTATTTGCAATACTTCTTGAACCAAACTCCAATATTAAGAAAACTCTCAAAGTCTGATTGAGGCCTGCAGAAAAAGAAAACTCGTTATACTCCATAAACATTCATCAAAACATCGAATTACTTGACAATTTAGCTTTGGAAATCTTGACCTATCAATTCCATGAACATCATTGGGAAACATAATAGTCTTAACATTTCCGCCCCTCTCCTTTAGCGCCCGAACGTACTGCCAATCGTAAACATGAAAATTAGTAGTAGGATAGCATGATGCCAACGTATATAGAATGTAATAGTTTTTAATTGTGTTCAATTTCTTATACAAGATAAAAATAGCACGAACTAACTAAAGTAGTATTCAAATTTAGAAGGGGAACCCAATAACTTACTTGCAACCCATTAGAAAATGGAACGCGAAGATCCTGCGCACCCACAAGGAAGAGGATGGGTGTCTTCACCTGCAGAGATCATAAAAGAATAAATAACTGTTCCGAGTCAACCGGTCAGAATGTTTTAAGGTCCCAAGGTGAAGTAGAATGCATATCAAAAAGTTCTAAGCCAACAAAGTTAAAAACACTATGCTAGGGAGACCGAAAATCTATTCGAAACCTGTTCTACATATACATAAAGTGGTAACTTTAAATAATCAAGCCCTTATGTGCTTCACAATCCCAGGCCTTTAACATTAGAATGGATCCTCTACAGAGTGAGATAGAATAGCAAGGAACTTCAGTCTTGGGATATTTTCAGTCACAGTATATCTTTTCTTTTTCAATTTCGTACATTTATTGGGATAATGCCGGTGCCAAGAGTACAGCTACTGCTTCTTAGAATGGTCCCTCTGAAGCTTGGAACCTTTGTATGTGTTTTTATAAATTCGTCCTTTTACCACTACAGCATGGGACCCTTCATGGACTACTGTTAAGTAACTCTTCAAATTTTAAAATTTTAAACTACCAGATTTTCAACTCAATAATTTTTACATCAGATTCATTTAAGCACTAAGCAAGTTATCTGTGCATTGAATTTGAACGTTTGAAATGGCTTTTGCTCCTTGTTAATGTGCTTCTATTAGAAAGCGTCCATGACGGTACTAGACTAACCTACAAAACCCATACCTTTGAGAGATGGGAAATAGGAGACTTCTTGTGAAAGGCAATCAGATCTTCCGCCGAAGGTGCTTCAGTGAAGCTGTTTTTACCTAGGCTTCCATAGGTCTCAAAATAAGCCCAATCAGGGATATCTGTTGTACCAACCATCAATGCAAGGTTACAAACAGGATTCCTCGCTGCTGCTGCAGCAAACTTATCTGGTGCCTGCAGCATTTCCGACGCAAAATGATCTGATTTTTAGCATAAATACGTATCTGCTAGGGAAGACAAGTATAGGAAAAGAGAACTAAAGATAAAATGACAAGTGAAGCAAATAATGTAGCAAGGCAGCTGGTCCATAAACAAATTTTGCGGCCCTGAAAATTCAAGTCATCTAGCATCTAAGTTCAGATTTCTGCTTGTTGAAGCATCAGTTAGTAGTCCAGTCCAGAGCAATCAGATTGTATATAAAATCTGACAAATCGTACAATAATGAAAGAGAATAAAACTAATGCAGGTAAAAACATGCAAGAAGAAGAGTCCGATATTTCGCGCCAGTGAAATTTGAGCTGCTTTTATCATATGAGACTCGACAACAAAAGAATGCATTAGTCCAGATGTTACTTGTGGAAGAATGTGTTTTACACGTGTATAGACTAAATTAGGAAAGTTTGAATATAATAGTTAGTTTCCCTAGAATTAGGTTGATTTGGTTAGTTTCCTTTTTTAGTGTGATATCCCACATATTATGGGACGTGATTGCCGTTTCTATAGGCTAGGGCTCCTGTATATAAACCGGTTGTAATTGTCATGTAATATACAATTCCTTCAATTTTTCCTCTCAAATTTCCACATTACTTGACCATCATCTAAGACCTGAAAAAGCATTACAAGACCGACCATACTTGACTCGTTGTACAGTAGGGGGCCTCACAAAATTACGCATACCTGACCAATCAAATGAGTTGTGAGAAAGCCACCATGGGAACCGCCGACCACAGCAATTTTCGATGGATCAGCTTTTCCCGCGTCAATGACATGATCTATAGCCGTGAGTACATCATTGACATCCTGCTCAAACATCATAGATTAGGAGCTAAAAGAAAAATCTGAGCACAGTCAATATGCCCAGAAGAATAAAGAAACAGTTCTGCATACTATAGTGAAAGTAATTACCTGGGTTCCAATTTTCCCTGGTAGAGATTGCAGTGCTTCCTCACCAAACCCCAAAGAGCCTCTGAGATCAATTTAATTACCATATTAAAAAAAGTACTAACGATTTCCTGCTGTTTATAATGTAATGTGATCTCTGAAAAGGGGCAAAAGTTGGAAGGAGATCTCTTCCATCAATACAACGGTCAAAGAATTAGATTGAAATAAATTGAAATATTCCAAGCAATTTACTATGAAAAACGATAATAGAAAATCAGACGACAACAAAAAAAAAAATTACAAATTCAGGCGACAAAATATCAGCAAATGATAATATATATATGTGAAAACGACAACAAAACCCCCCAAACAACAAGCGAAAGGAGAATGACAATAGAGAAAAACAAAATGACAACAAACATCAACGGCAAAATAAATACCAAAGACTTCAAAACTAGAAAAACATCAGTATTCTAAAACTTAGAAGGTAGAATAAAATTGTGTCTAGAATAATTTTATTGAATGAATACAATGCCCTCTTTATAGGTAGGAGGAGGTACACGGGATTACACAAAAAAGGAAAGGAATAAAATAAAATATTGACAGTTTCCTATTCCCTATTCTACTAAGTTGACTTTCCATATTTACACTAGATACACATCCTAATACTCTTCTAGGATCATGACTAAAACGGGATAAAATCCCTAATTGACTCTCTCTGCCGACACTAAATGACAATAAACCAACGAGTGAAAAAGAAAGGTTTGAAACCATGAATCGAAGACAAAAGACGGTAAAGAGGAAAATGACAATAAAAAGTCGAACAACAAAATAACGACAAGGGTAAATTGCACGAATGGTCCCCAAATTTTTTAAAAGGTGACAGTTTAGTCCTAAACTTTTTTTTTTGGACGAAACGAACCCCAAACTATTGAAAATTGTGCAATGTAGTATTTTCCGTCAAATGTCGTCCAAAAGGTAATGGTACAGTGCACGTGAGATATGGCCCATATTTTGGCTAAAAAGACGAAAATGTCCTTAATTATTGTTATCTTAATATTTTTTCCGCCCCAATCTTCGACCAAAACCTCCTCCCCCGCCGCGGCTTCCTCGGACGGCGACCGCCATTGCTTCCACCAACAAACCCGGCCGCAGCCAGTGAGTCCTTCCGCGGCCACTTCGCCGGCGTCGCCTTCCGGTCCTTCCGTGGCCGCTCGAGATATCTAGTTCAACGTCGTCAACGTCAATGGCTGGGTCCAAGCTTTCTCTACTCATCCTCATATCGGAAGTTCCCCTTCCTCTTCTTCTCACTCCACTTCTGCCCAGTTAAGGTTTTTTTTTTTTTTTTTTTCTGTTCTGTTTTCATTGTTAGTGAGATTTCAATAGAAATTTGTTGTTTTCTCAATTACCCAGATCCGAAATATGATGTTTTTGATGATTGGAAACTGATTTATTAGAAGTTATTGGAGTTTTGTAGGTGGAGTAAGGGAGAGCAATCGACTGCTTTAGCAACTACTACTAGCTCTAGCTTATAGGTCAGTCTGCTCTGAATCAAACTTTAAATTTTGGGTGTAGAATTTTCTTTTCTTAATTAAGGGGTATCAATGATTTGCATTTGATTAAGAATAAAAATTGAAGAAGAGTCATTCGTTTGTATATAGGGGATGGTAATAATGGCTTATGGGTCTGTGATTCACAAATGAATTGGAGGATACCTGCTTTGGAAAACGAGATTGACATGAAAGATAATCTCAGAGAGAGAAGGAGAGGGAAGGAGATAGCAGAGAGATGAGAGAGAGAAAGAGAGAGAAAGAGAGAGAAGGAGAGCTAGGCTTGGTATTTTATCAAAACACCCTCTTTAACAAGATCACATGCCTTGTACATGATTGATTCTGTTAAAAATGTAACGGAATTTGACAGAGAGGACTACATTGCGGCCTTTTCAATAATTTGGGGTTTGTTTCGTCAAAAAAAAAGTCACCTTTTAAAAAATTTGGGGACCATTTATGAAATTTACCCTAACGACGATATCGCAAAGAACTATAAACGACAATAAACACCTGAGCACAAATATCTAGGAAACATAGGAATGCAAATAAAATAGTGAGCTGTCCACAAAAATTAAAAAAAAAAAAAAAGGATAGTGAGTGTCAACAATATATGAGAAACAACGTGGGAAGTCGAAAACAACAATAAAAAGTCAACAAGAAAACAAAAAAGGAGCAAAAATTAGAAACTACAGTTGAGAAAACAAAATAAAATGGGGAAATTTTAGGAAATAGGCCTACATTTAAACCTTATAGAAGTAAATGGCTAATTTACCAATGTATAAAAATTAATAAACCATTTCATGTTTTCAATTTTATCCTTTTCTTGCTATTTTTTTCCCTTTCTTTTAGTAAATCCAGGTATATGCATGATTTACCAAGTTAGAGTCACTTGAAAAAGAACAATACAAATTCTAATAGTAAATCCTGAATATAGTTAGTAAATCCTAGATATATGGATTTACCAAGTTAGCATCATGTTAAGGCCCCGATCAGGTTCACCTATGCTAGGAGACCAAAGGCCTAGACGAAAGCCCAAGGACAGGAAAGGGATTATGTGGAGGGTGCTGAAGGAGTTCTCGAGGAGGAAGTTGGTTAGAAGGAGTGCCTCGGGATTGCGTTAGAGTTAGTTAGGATATTCCATGAGTCTTATTGGGAGCAGGGAATAAAAGGGGAGGAGGGAATAGAGGGAAGGCAGGCAATTGTTTAGTGAGTAGTGAAATATCTAGGAGGAGAGCTAGCAGACCTCTCCAATAGTCTGCGAATTTATCTCTACTTGTACAAAAGCTTTTACTTGAAATAAACATAAAACAAAGTATTTCTTGCTCAGAATTCTTCCATCACTCGTCACAATTATTCCAGATTGTATCAATTTGGTATCAGAGCACACGGTCCGGGAAGAATGGCGGCCAAGAAAGTGGAGGAACGGCGGGGAATCATGGAGGAGCAGATCGGCACGGTATGGGGGATGTCCAGCGTGAGATCGAGTCGGTTAAGGGGGACTTGCAGAAGCTTCCCGAGCTGGAGAAAGGGATGGCCGCGCTTAACTTGAAGCTAGAGATGTGGTTGAAGTCGCAGATGGCGCCGGCGGACCGCCGACAGGAGCGGCCGGAGGATTCTCACCCCCACCAAGCGTCGTTCGAGGCAAAGGAGACGGATCGAACCGGCGGACATCGGGAAGCTAATTGGAGGTACAAAGGACGAGGACGGAGACTGGAGATGCCGATCTTCGACGGAAACAACCCCGATGGCTGGGTATTTCGGACAGAGCGATTTTTCAACATGAATCGCTTGACGGAGGCAGAGAAATTGGACGCCGCTGTCATCAACCTCGATGGAGATGCCCTTGCTTGGTTCCAGTGGGCTGATGGGCGACGAGCAATTCGAGATTGGTTGGATTTGAAGAGGATGATCCAAGACCGGTTCCGTCCGACACAGGAAGGCTCGTCGTATGAACAGTTCCTAGCTCTACGGCAGGAGGGGCCGGTGGATGAGTATCGCCGACAGTTCGAACTCTTGGCAGCTTCGTTGGTGGATATTCCAGACCCCATCCAGGAGAGGAATTTTATTAATGGTCTAAAGCCTGAAATTCGGGCCGAGGTACGTATGGCCCAGCCCAAGGGATTGGGCTGGATAATGGACCTAGCCAAAAGGGTGGAAGAGCACAACGAGATGCTACGCAAGCCTAGGAGCCCACACCAAAGCCACGGCCGAGTCCCAGTTCCTGGCCTCCACACTAATTTCAGGGTCCAACCCTCCACGTGGAACAGAACTCCACCGCTTCATGAGAGACCGACAGGTAATAGATCTGAACCTAATAACTCCATGACCTTTAGACGTTTGTCTGAAACTGAGTATCAGAACAAAAGGGAGAAAGGGCTGTGTTTTAGGTGCGATGAAAGGTACAATCCAGGCCATGTTTGTAAGAAGAAGGAGCTGCAGGTGTTACTCATGGAAGATGAGGGAGAAGTCCAGGAAGTTGCTGAGGAGATGGATGAAACGGAGGCACCGAAAATGGGGGAGATGGTGGAAATATCCTTGAACTCGGTGGTGGGGCTTACCACACCGAAGACCATGAAGATGAGGGGACGGGTAGGACCCCAAGAAGTGGTGGTTTTGGTGGATTGTGGTGCTACACACAATTTTATTTCTTCGGCACTAGTACAGAAGTTAGGAATTCCTGTGGTGGGAACAGAAGGCTACGGGGTGGTAATGGGCACGGGAATTTCAGTACAAGGAAAAGGGGTTTGCAAGGGAGTGGGGCTTTCCCTGGCTGGGCTGGAAATCGTGGAGGACTTCCTGCCTTTGGAGCTAGGGAGCTCGGATGTCATCCTAGGGATGCAGTGGCTGGGCACACTCGGGAGGATGCATGTTAATTGGCAGACCCTTACCATGAAGTTCCGGGTGGGGGAGATTCAAGCAACACTGCAAGGAGAACCAGGTTTGAGTAAGTCCCTTGTGTCCTTGAAGTCGATGATGAAAGTTCTGCGGAAGGAGAAGATAGGGATATTATTGGAAATCGGACAGGGGGCAATCGGATTGGAGAAGGAGTATAGGCAGGACA